ACTTGATTCAGCTAGTATCCCCACTCACCCCCACCCCCCCCCCCCACCAACAAACAACATGAAGAATAGAATGAAGGGAAACACGTGATTTTGAAAATATAAAGTACATGCAGTTCAGAAATATACAATTGAAGATAACTCAAAACTCTAACACGGGAATCAATTTTGTTTTTTCTATTTTCTCTCTTTAATTTGGAATATCGTACCACAAATTGCCATGGTCAGAGAGAATGAGATAACCCCAAATTTGGGAATTGACCGAATTGCTTCGACTACACTATATATTATTTGTTTAAGAAGCCACGTTAGCTATAAATTATCCAATGTATTATTTTCTCACATATTAGAATTAAATAATTAATTATATAGAATGGCATGCCACGTCAATTCAGAAAGCTCAAAATATTTTGAATATCGATAAGCTAAAAATCATTGGTAAAGCGAAAAGTGAAGATTTTCAAGATCATGAGAATCTAAATTAAAACGTTGTGTGCTATTGAAAACGAGCTGATAGTCCATTCACAATGTTGTTTTGGGTACAAAAATCTAAAGAGTAACCTTCTAGAAGTACGAAACTTTCTATCCAAATTAATCCAAAGTTCAAACTTTGCACATCCTCAACTCTAAGAACATCTCGTGGCTACAACATAAATGAGAGTGGAGGAGAGTTCCAGATAAGCTTAGTTTTTAGAGCGGTGGATATAGAAAAAGACATATAATATAATGTAGACAAGAGGATAATATTGAAGAAAATTCCTGCACAAATAATGGAACAAGATTAGTCGCAAGAATTTTTTTTAACAAGCTCGTGCATAGAGGCAGTTCGGTGCACAAAACATCTCGTATTCATGCAGGATCCGAGGAAGAATTACAACTTAAGGGATGTGATGCAGGCAGCCTACCCTAATGCAAATATTAGTGGTCGCTTCTACTGCTCGAACCCCTGACCTATAGATCACACGGAAATAACTTTATCGTTGCTCCAAAGTTCCATTCACGAGTGAAAGAGTGTAAAAGAAATGAAAATAATTTTGTGGAAATTTTTTGTGTATTCATTCTGTACAGAGACAATCTATATACAGAACTATTCTATGAAATAATAAAAGAATCAAAATAACCACCTATACATGTGTCTAAATCCTATTTGCTAGCTAATAAAAAAATCTAACTGAAGAATATTCTTTTGCTATGTACATATCCCATGTGACAGATATTAGAGTTTGGGATCCAGTATTGTGTAGTGTAGTCGTATAATAAGCTGTGGTGTTCTTCATCTGAATGGTTATTAATTAATCTATCATATTTTTGCACAGCCGTTGAGATGAGAGCAGGTGGAGAGACCAAATAAGAGAAGTCCAAATGTGTTGTTGACCTAGAAGTATCCGAAATGTTCTCATTTGTCTGAAAACCTAGTCCTTCTTCTTCTTCTTCATGAGAAAGACTAGCTGCTATTAACGATTTCTTCTCAACATCCCCCTCAAGGTGGAGGGTAAAGAAATTATCCCCAGCTTGCCAATAGCAAATCTATGTGAAGGACCTGAGAGAGATTTGGTGAATAAATCGGCGAGTTGAGACGGGGATGGAACATAAGAAAGGGAAATCAGTCCAGAGAGGAACTGTTGCCGAACAAAGTGGCAATCGAGTTCCACATACTTCGTTCTTTCGTGGAAGACAGGGTTTCGAGCAATGTTGATGGCTGCTTTGCTATCAGAGAAGACCGGCACCGGCAAAGACGGTGATACAGAGATATCATAGAGAAGACGCGTGAGCCAAGTGAGCTCAGCAACAACTCTACGCATGGAGCGATACTCCGCTTCAGCTGATGATAAAGTGACATAGGCTTGTTTCTTTGATTTCCAAGAAATTGGAGATCCCCCAAGAGTGATGTAAAAGCCGCTTACAGATCTTCGACTGTCTGGACAAGAAGCCCAATCGGCGTCACAAAATGCTAACAAGGAAAGTGAGGGATCGGAGTTTAGAACAATCCCTTGTCTTAGGTCTGATTTCAAGTATCGCAATACTCGTAGAGCAGCTGTGAAGTGAGAAGACCTGGGTTGCTGCATATACTGACTTAATTTCAACACTGCGAAGGATAAATCGGGCCTTGTGTGGGTTAGGTAGTTCAACTTCCCCACAAGGTGTCGATAAATGGTGGGATCACTGAGGAAAGGCC